TTACTTGCACAGACACAGAATTGTTACTCGCACAGACACAGAATTGTTACTCGCACAGACACAGAATTGTTACTCAGGGCCACAGAATTCATACTCAGGGACAGACAGAATTGTTACTGAGTGCCAGAGAATTGTTACTCAGGGACACACCTAATCGTTGAATTAAATAGTATGTCAGACAACATGCAGAGGAGTGGCAGAGGAGGCAATGTTTTAGGAGCGAGCAGACGTGGCAGCAGAGGAAGGGGTCGAGGCAGCAGTATTCGCAGCCAGAGGCCAGTGCTCCCGGTGTCATCCAGCGGTCGTGTCTCCACCGACAACCCTGCCGTCATTGATTGGTTGGCTCGGTCGTCTTCCTCTTCCCAGGTCACCTCTGACACCTACAGCCAACGGTCGGTGGGTACGTCAGACACAACCGTTAGTTGGCATGGCCGGGACCAAGCCCACTGAAATCACGTGTCCTCTACCTGCCCCTTCCTTTGCTGTTCCCTCACCAAGCGAAGTATCGCATGCTGTGGGCTCAGCCCACTGTACAGTGAGGAAGAGCTAACAGAGGGCGGTCAGGAACGGGGGGAGACATCGGCCTTTTCAGCAGCCAAGCGAACAAGTACTGGCGAGGAGAGTGGCTCGGTAGCCGGTCTAGAGACAGGTCTGTCTCCTGACCCAGACGCAGCCGAGGGGGCTAGTAGTGAGGCGGAGACCCTACTTGATGATGAGGAGGTTGATCGCACTTGGCAGCCTCGTCGTCATCAGGCAATTTCTTCCGCATCATCAGGAGAAGAGGGTGGCAGCTTGGCAGCGAGCAAAACAGTCGGTGGGTTGCCCAGGAGACAGCAGCAGGGTCGCATCAGTGTCAGTGGAGCCAAACGTCCACGGAGTAGAGCACCAGCTCCACTGCAGCCTACCACCACGGCCAGTAGTGGTGCCGGTGCGCACGGAGGAAGTAGCAGTCAGCCAGTGAAGAGTAGCGGGGGCAAAGTTTCCTACTCGGTGGGTGGCAATTTTTCCTCAAGCCGCCCGAGGAAGTAAACGTAGCCGTATGTCGACTATGTGGCCAGAAATGCAAGCGTGGCCAGGGGGCCCATGTTGGGACTACTACAGCGTTGCGTCAGCATATGCAGCGTCACCATTCGGTGGCCTGGGAAAAACCTGATAAACATACGGCGGTTCTGCCTGCCCCAGCCCCCGCTCCATCACCGCTCCGTTACTTGCTCCGTCACCCGACGTCGTCAATCGCCCTCTATCAGCCAGTCAAGGCTCCACACCTCTGCTGAGGGGAGTTGTCGCTCGTTGGCATCTTCCGCTCGTTCAGATGCTCCTTCTCCTGCTACTCCTCTTCTCGGATTCCGTCAACAGTCTTTCTTGGAATCCGTATCCAAGAGACAAACAGTTTGCGAGCACGCACCCGACGGTGCAAAAAGCTGAACGTCCTCCTGTCCAAGTTGCTGGTGCTGCAGTCCCTCCCTTTTCCAACTGGTGGACTCAGCACCTTTCGAGAAATGATGGCTTGTGCCGCGCCGCGGTGGAGAGTGTGCCAAGCCGTCATTTCTTTGCCCAAAAGGCAGTGCCAGCCCTGCATTCACATGTAGAAGAGATGGTGGGCCAGTCTTTGAGCATGTCGGTCTCTGCCAAAGTGCACGGCAGCGCGACGTGTGGAGCTGTAACTACGGTCAGGGACAGTACATGTCATTTACGGCCCACTGGGTGAACGTGGTGCCGGCACAGCCGCACCAGCAACTTGGACAGGTCACGACGCTTTTGCCTCCACGTTTGCACGTCCTTGGTCCAGCAAGCATGTCCGCCTCTACCACCTCTTTTTCCGCCGTGTCCTCAGCCGCCACCCCCGTGCCAAGTCCCATTACCCGACCGGCATATCACATGTGCAGGGCGCAACGGTGTCACGCTGTGCTGCACCTGGTATGCCTTGGCGAACGTAGTCACACAGGGGAGGAACTGCTGAGTGTAATGAACAGAGAAATCGACAGATGGCTGTCTCCGCGCAAACTAAAAATCGGAACCATGTTGACTGACAACGGAAAGAACATGGTGTCTGCTCTGCGTCAAGGAAGGTTGTGCCATGCGCCATGCATGGCTCACGTGTTCAATCTGGTTGTCAAGCGGTTCCTAAAAAATCCACCATCCCACTGCAAGACATCCTTAAAATGTCACGTAAACTGTGCATGCATTTCAGCCATTCCTACACCGCAAAGAACACCCTCATTGAGCTGCAGCGGCAGAGAACGGAATTCCACAGCATCGCCTGATCTGCGACGTTGCAACAAGGTGGAATTCAAACCCTACACATGTTAGACCGCCTTTACGAGCAGCGAAAGGCCATCACCGATTTCCTGATGTTACAAGCGGATAAAGGTACTCCCCTGTGTAACTTAGATGTCAGCCATTGGCAGCTCATGCGTGACACCTGCCGCTTGCTCAGGCCCTTTGAGGAGGCCACGCTATTCGTGAGTCGGCAGGACTATGGGATGAACGACGTCATTCCTCTGTTGCACGTCCTGGAACAAATGCTGTTAACAATGGCTGGTCAGGGTGCGGTAGACGTGGCGCACAGATCTCAACGCCACATGACCCCTGTGGGGGCAGGACAGGAAGAAGAGGAGGAGGTAGAGGGGGACATTTGTGCTCAGGAATTATTGAGTGAAATGGGTGGTTTTTCCACTCAGCGGACAGGAGTGGAGGAGCAGGAGCATCTGGTAGAGGAGGAGGAGGAGGAGGACAGAGGACCCAGACGCACCGTGGCAGTATGCTGTGGAGATGGAGGCAGGGAGTCCCTCGCATTCCTTGGCACAAATGGCCATAGCATGCTCGGTTGCTTGCGTAGCGACAGTCCGAATAATAACCATCAGACAGAGGGATGACTTTTGGCTGTCCACCTTGTTGGACCCTCGCTACCGGTCCAAAATGGTGGCCTTTTTCACACCTGCTGAGAGGGAGGCCAAAATTACGTACTATAAAAACCACCTATGTAGTCAGTTGGTCTCTGCCTTTGTGCGCCAACGTCCATCCTCAGACACTGTGGGCCCTGTGCGCTCGCGTTCCGCTGGCATGGCAGCAGGGGAGGGGTGGGGTGGTAGGAGCAGTGGCAGCTCCACCAGCAGCGGCTGCCTCAGTCTGCAGTCGATGATGAGTAGCTTTCTTCACCAGCGCAGTGAGGAAACTACTAACCAGCCGCAGCAGCAGCAGCAGCAGCAGCATCAGGTGGACCTGGAGCAGGAGCTCAAACAACAGGCTTGGGCCTACTTGGACAGCACCCTGCCAACCGAGGTAGACAATCCCCTTGACTACTGGGCAACGAAACTTGACCTTTGGCCCCAACTAGCTGAATTTGCCCTTGAAAGGCTGTCATGCCCGGCCAGTAGCGTGGCATCGGAGCGCGTGTTTAGTGCGGCAGGAGGTATTGTAACTCCGCGGAGGACACGACTGTCCACCCAAAGTGTGGAGAGACTCACGTTTGTGAAAATGAATCAGGCGTGGATTAGTCTGGATTTCAAACCACCAGTTCCTGACACAAACTGACTAAATCCGCCATGAATCATGCCTCAAACATGTGCCACTTTCAGGTCTCTCACATGCTGGTGTGTTTAATTTTTTGACATAGGGTGCTGGCAGATTACGGGCCTCCTATAGCTGCTGCCAGGCCCCTAATCTGCCATAGGCCCCTATATACCGCCTCCTCATGCTGCTGCCAAGTCCAGAGTCTCTCATGGGTCCCTGTACGGCCTCCCATTGCTGCTGTCTCCATCGCCACACTCTGCTGCCATGTGCCACTTTCAGGTCTCCTCACACACTGCTGGTGTGTTAAATTTTTTGACATAGGGTGCTGCAGGCAGATTACGGGCCTCACATAGCTGCTGCCAGGCCCCTAATCTGCCATGGGCCCCTATATACCGCCTCCTCATGCTGCTGCCAAGTCCAGAGTCTGTCTCATGGGTCCCTGTACGGCCTCCCATTGCTGCTGTCTCCATCGCCACACTCTGCTGCATGTGCCACTTTCAGGTCTCTTCACACACTGCTGGTGTGTTAAATTTTTTTGACATAGGGTGCAGGCAGATTACGGGCCTCACATAGCTGCTGCCAGGCCCCTAATCTGCCATGGGCCCCTATATACCGCCTCCTCATGCTGCTGCCAAGTCCAGAGTCTCTCATGGGTCCTGTACGGCCTCCCATTGCTGCTGTCTCCATCGCCACACTCTGCTGCCATGTGCCACTTTCAGGTCTCTTCACACTGCTGGTGTGTTAAATTTTTTGACATAGGGTGCTGGCAGATTACGGGCCTCACATAGCTGCTGCCAGGCCCCTAATCTGCCATGGGCCCTATATACCGCCTCCTCATGCTGCTGCCAAGTCCAGAGTCTGTCATGGGTCCCTGTACGGCCTCCATTGCTGCTGTCTCCATCGCCACACTCTGCTGCCATGTGCCACTTTCAGGTCTCTTCACACTGCTGGTGTGTTAAATTTTTTGACATAGGGTGCAGGCAGATTACGGGCCTCACATAGCTGCTGCCAGGCCCCTAATCTGCCATGGGCCCCTATATACCGCCTCCTCATGCTGCTGCCAAGTCCAGAGTCTCTCATGGGTCCCTGTACGGCCTCCCATTGCTGCTGTCTCCATCGCCACACTCTGCTGCCATGTGCCACTTTCAGGTCTCTTCACACATGCTGGTGTGTTTATAATTTTTTGACATAGGGTGCAGGCAGATTACGGGCCTCACATAGCTGCTGCCAGGCCCTAATCTGCCATTGCCATGGGCCCTATATACCGCCTCCTCATGCTGCTGCCAAGTCCAGAGTCTGTCATGGGTCCCTGTACGGCCTCCATTGCTGCTGTCTCCATCGCCACACTCTGCTGCCATGTGCCACTTTCAGGTCTCTTCACACTGCTGCTGGTGTGTTAATTTTTTGACATAGGGTGCTGCAGATTACGGGCCTCACATAGCTGCTGCCAGGCCCCTAATCTGCCATGGGCCCTATATACCGCCTCCTCATGCTGCTGCCAAGTCCAGAGTCTCTCATGGGTCCCTGTACGGCCTCCCATTGCTGCTGTCTCCATCGCCACACTCTGCTGCCATGTGCCACTTTCAGGTCTCTTCACACTGCTGGTGTGTTAAATTTTTTGACATAGGGTGCAGGCAGATTACGGGCCTCACATAGCTGCTGCCAGGCCCCTAATCTGCCATGGGCCCCTATATACCCTCCTCATGCTGCTGCCAAGTCCAGAGTCTCTCATGGGTCCCTGTACGGCCTCCCATTGCTGCTGTCTCCATCGCCACACTCTGCTGCCATGTGCCACTTTCAGGTCTCTTCACACACTGCTGGTGTGTTTAATTTTTTTGACATAGGGTGCAGGCAGATTACGGGCCTCACATAGCTGCTGCCAGGCCCCTAATCCCATGGGCCCTATATACCGCCTCCTCATGCTGCTGCCAAGTCCAGAGTCTGTCATGGGTCCTGTACGGCCTCCCATTGCTGCTGTCTCCATCGCCACACTCTGCTGCCATGTGCCACTTTCAGGTCTCTTCACACTGCTGTGTGTTAAATTTTTTTGACATAGGGTGCAGGCAGATTACGGGCCTCACATAGCTGCTGCCAGGCCCCTAATCTGCCATGGGCCCCTATATACCGCCTCCTCCTCATGCTGCTGCCAAGTCCAGAGTCTCTGTCATGGGTCCCTGTACGCCTCCCATTGCTGCTGTCTCCATCGCCACACTCTGCTGCCATGTGCCACTTTCAGGTCTCTTCACACACTGCTGGTGTGTTTAATTTTTTGACATAGGGTGCAGGCAGATTACGGGCCTCACATAGCTGCTGCCAGGCCCCTAATCTGCCATGGGCCCCTATATACTACCGCCTCCTCATGCTGCTGCCAAGTCCAGAGTCTCTCATGGGTCCCTGTACGGCCTCCCATTGCTGCTGTCTCCATCGCCACACTCTGCTGCCATGTGCCACTTTCAGGTCTCTTCACACTGCTGGTGTGTTAAATTTTTTTGACATAGGGTGCAGGCAGATTACGGGCCTCACATAGCTGCTGCCAGGCCCCTAATCTGCCATGGGCCCCTATATACCCCACACCCAAGTCCAGAGTCTGTCATGGGTCCCTGTACGGCCTCCCATTGCTGCTGTCTCCATCGCCACACTCTGCTGCCATGTGCCACTTTCAGGTCTCTTCACACTGCTGGTGTGTTTAATTTTTTTGACATAGGGTGCAGGCAGATTACGGGCCTCACATAGCTGCTGCCATCCCCCTAATCTGCCATGGGCCCCTATATACCCACCCTCCTCATGCTGCTGCCAAGTCCAGAGTCTCTCATGGGTCCTGTACGGCCCCAATCCCATTGCATGCTGTCTCCCATCCCACATCATCCCCATATCCCCAAACTTACACTCTTCACCCCCATATAAAATTTTTACATAACCCAAAAAATCCCACTTTATCCTTCTCAACTTTCACCCCACTCATCATCATCTTCCCACCAATCCATTTCCACACACCCCCTCACCACCATCATCATCCCCTACCCTCTAATACACCATTTACCATACTGGTTCACCCAATATCATACACCCCTCCCCCCCCACATCATCATATCCCATATCAACTTACACAACCCCATCATTATATAACCCAAAAAAATCCACTTTATCTTCCTCAACTTTCCACCCCACTCATCATCCCCCCTCCCCACCAATCCCCATTTCCCACACCCCACCAATCCATCATCATCCCCTCTCTAATACATTTACCCATACTTTCCACCCCCCCCCAATATCATACCCCCCCCCCCCCATATCCCCCCATATCCCAAACTTAACAACCCCATCATCATTATATAACCCAAAAAATCCACTTTATCTTCCTCAACCTTTCCCACCATACTCATCATCCTTCCCACCCACATCCCATTTCCACACACCCCCACCCACATATCATCCCCATACCCTCTAATCCATTTACCATACTACCCCCCCCATACCCCATACCCCATATATACCCCTACCACCCCCCATATCATCCATATCCCCCCAAACCTTACACACCCCCCATATTATATAACCCAAAAAATCCACTTTATCCTTCCTCAACCTCACCTTTCCACCCACTCATCATCCCCTTCCCCACACCACCATCCCATTTCCCCACCCCCTCACACCACCATCTATCCCCCCCCTCTACATACCATTTACATACCCCCCCATACCCCCATCCCATCATATCCACCCATCCCCCATCCCATCCCATATCCCCAAACCTTAACACAACCCCCATATTATATAACCCAAAAAATCCACTTTATCCTTCCTCAACTTTCACCCCCACTCATCATCCCTTCCCCACCACCCCATTTCCCATTCACCTACCCCACCATCCATCATATCATTACACCTACATCTAATACCATTTACCATACCTTCCCCCCCAATATCATATACCCACCATCCCCCCCCCATATCCCCATATCCCCCCAACCCCCCCCCCCCATATCATATATAACCCAAAAAATCCCCAACTTTATCCCCATACTTCCTCAACTTTCCACCCCTCCATATCATCATCCCCAAATCCCCCCACCACCATCCCAACACTTTCCCACAAAAATCCCACACACAATCCCCTACCCATCCCCATCATCACCTATACCCTCTACCACATTTACCCCATACCTTCCCCAATATCCCATACCCCCATAACCCCCCCCCCCCCCCCCATATCCCCAACCTTAACACCCACATATATATATAACCCAAAAAATCCCACCCATAATCAATCACCTTTCCCCCTATATCATTCCCCCACCCCACAACCCACCATTTCCACCCACCACCCACCTACCACACACCCACCCACCCCCATACCCTATACTTCACAATATCCCCTATCCCCCCCCCCCCATATCCCCAAACCTTAAAACCCCATATTATATAAACCAAAAAATCCAAAAATCCTTCCCCAAACCCCCCCCCACCCCACCCCCCCCATCACCATCCCCCCAATCCCCCAACCAACAACAAACCCCAAAACCAAACCCAAAACCCCAAAAAAAAAAACCCCCCCCCCCCAAACCCTAATCCACCCATAACCACCAAAACACTCCTAATCCGCCAAACCCACTATCCCAACCACACCCACCTCCATAACCCACCCCACCCCACCCAACATATACACCCCTAC